TATGGCATTACATTAAAAATTAATACAGTTAAGTAGCTTTTCTAATAAAAAATTCCAAGTATAATAGGAACAGAAAGAAACTACCTAAACTTAATAAAGACTATGAATTATAATCCAACATAATATTAGGGGAAAATTAAGGTTACTGCCATTATAATCAAGAAGAAAGCTGGAATATCCATACTCACTAGTACCAGTAATTTTTATGGTTTTAACTAATGTAATAATTATGACTCCTTGTCCATAAATTTAGCAACTGGTATAAATATTGGAAAAGAACATAAACTTTTTGCAGCACTGTATACCCAGAAAATGCAGAAGACTCCATTAAAAAATAAAGACTCCAGTGCCACATACAAAATAAAACCAACAAGAAAAAACAGTGGAAGGCTGAAGCAAGTTCAAGCTTAGCCTGTGCAACTTAGTGACAAGGATATCCAATCTCAAAATAAAAAACAGAAAAAGAGATGGGAATATAGCTCAGTATGAAGGCCCTGGGTTCAAACCCCAGTGCAGGGTGGGGGGACAATTAGAGATTTTAGCTCAGTTGCTGAATACAAGAAAGATATGCCCCTTAGCTTTTCTTCTATAATCTACTGTTAGAGATAGGGAAAATACTCTATTCCCCAAATTATAAAATAACTCAGAAAAATTCATATGAGTAAAGAATCAGCTGGACATGGTGACTGAGGCAGGAGGATCACAAGTGTGAGGCCAGCTTGGGCAATTTAACAAGACCTCACGTCAAAAATTTAAAAATTAAATTAAAAGGTCTGGTGGTGTAGCTCAGTGGTAGAGTGTCCCTGAGTTTGATCCCTAGTATTGGAATAAAAAAGAGACTACAAGAATCATATTAAAAGAAAACTCTAGCATTTTATTGAACTATATAAATGCCAGTCATTAAATTAATAGACACATTAATTGCAATTAAAATAAAAATATGCAGATATATTTTCTTTGGTACTGGACTAATGATTTAAATATTTATATGGAATAAAATGTGCAATTACTGTATAGGTTTGGAAAAGTAGGGAGCATTTGCCTTACTAGAGAAAGAAAACTCACTATGAAACTGCTAAAACTAAAACCAATGTAAATGTGACATAACTGCAACTGTATGTACGGAAACAGAGTAACTTGTGTTTGAGGACTTGTATTGTGAAATTCCTATTTCAATTAAGTGGAAAAGGATGTATCTATAGCTATATATATTTCATCTAGATATTTAAGAGGAAAAGGTCCAGTATAAGATTGGCTGGATTTAAATCTCAATTTTGTATATTAGTGAATTGGTGTATATTTGTATATTAGTGAATTGGTATTATGTGAATTGGTTCCTTAAATGCTCTAATCATTAATCTTCTTACCTATGTGAAGGGCATAAAGTGTTTAACAGAGTACCTGGCATATAGAAATTGTTCATTAAATGCTAGCTATTACTGTTATTTGCATTATTATTACCTCACGTAATATAAAAACAAATCCCAAGTGGACTGGAAATATAAATTTAAAACAGCGATAAAAATAACAGAAGAAAATATGGAATGGTATTTGTATAATCTTAGTTTGGGGCAGACTTGAAAGACATAGCAAGATAAGAAACCCATCAACTGTAAAAGAAAAGCCTGATGCGTTCAAACACATAAAAATTATAAAGTCTATAGAAGACAGACAAGAAATTCATATCTTTAAAATATGAAAAACTCTTACAATCTGAGGCAAAACTATTTTCTCATAGAAGGAGAAAAAAATGGCAAATGGAAGTGAGTAATCATTTTACAAATGAACTTCAAATAGCTAATAAATGTGTAAAAACATGCTTACCTACAATAGGTCAGGGAAATGCAAATTGTAATAGTAATAAGCTATCTTTTCAAAATCCATCCTACTGACAAAAATGTTTAAATGTATCAATTTATAAGATTGATCACACCCAGCACTAGCTGGAGAATGGGAAATCAGGTAGCCCTCAGCACTGCTGGTCAGAGTGTGATCTGCTGCAGTCCTCAGAAGCAAGCTCAGTCAGTTGGTGAATCAACTAAAGTAACATTTGAACATACTTTTTGACCCAGAAGTCCCATTTTTGAAAAATCTAGCCCTTAGAAATAAAAGTGCAGACAAGTAAATGACATATATGTATAAGGAAATTAATTGAATCTTTTTTTTTCTGTAAACTTTACCCTTGGTGAGGGAAAAGGAGACCAAAATGAGAATAATCTGAAAGTTTCTTAAGGAAATGGACGAACAAGTTATGGAATATTATATAGTCCTACAAAGAATAAATTATAGGTACATGAATTGACCTAGAGTGTCAAAAGCAAGTTCCAGAGTGATGATGTAATAGTTAACATTTCTTGAGCACTTACGTTTTGTGCTATGGTTTGGTAGCTAGGGGCACTTCAAGGTGTGAGCCGTGCATAAAATATGCATACAATTTTTACATAAAGGGAAGAAACAAGACTAGATTTATGTTCATACTTGGTTGAAATGCATGAAGAGTAATTAGTTGTAAGAAATAAACAACAGTGGTTACCTATGAAACTGGTGCAGGATCTGTGTAGATGAGGAACAGGAATAGGGAGGAGAATGTCATTGTTCGTCTTTCGATCCCGTTAGGTTTTAAGCATGTAGATCTATTGCCTCCTTGTTGATGGGTCATGGTATGAAACAGTCTGCCAGACAGAGCAAGGAAAACAAGCAAGCTGCAGAAAACACATACGTATCCACATTAGACATGGAAGTGAGGAGACTATGAAAGACTTTCCCTTTAGCAGTGTGGTTCAACTTTGTCCTCAGGAGGAGTGTAGTGTGTATTACTTGTTAATTAGTTGTAGATAAAAGAATTAAAAAGATTGCTGGGCTGGGTGATTAACTTCGTCAAGGGTCGGGTTCTGGGGGTAGTGACGGTAGGTGACAGTACTGGTCCAGCCACATGACTGATTCTTTGAAATTTGTCTGATCTGAACTGAGACGTACTGTGGGTGTAATAAACACACTGGATTATGGAGACTTGGTACAAATAGAAAAGTGAAAAGTATGTCAGTGCTAATCTTTGATTACATGCTGCAGTGAAAATATTTTGGATAATTGTGGTAAAAATACAGTATTAAAAGTAATTACAACTACTTCTGCTTTTTAAAAATATAGCTGCTTGACAACTTTCAATTGCATATATGGCTTGCATTTTATTTCTGTTGGACCGAGTTATTATAAAAAGCACAGTGAAAGGCTGAGAAGGGGATGGTGAGTATTATAGGGAGGAGAGGCATTTTGATGGTCTCCCTTTGGTACAGCTGGTCTTTGGTTTTATCTCAGCTTGACAGGGAGAGCTGGGGATCCAGCAGGTAAAGAGTTGTCGGGGCCTGGCCAAGATGGGGGGCTGGGCAGAGTGGGGTGGTGGACGGATGAGGTGAAGGGCCTCGTTATGGGGATAGTTCAGAACTTTCCCAGATTCTCTTTTCCCTCATTAAAATGTACTTCTCTCCTGGTCTTAACTTGGCTAATAGTACCTTAACATTCTACCCCCTTTCATAGTAGTTTTGTCTGATTAAGACCATCCCTCTGCTGAAACACATACTAAGATACTCGATTCGCTTGTAATACGAGAAATGTAAAGCAAAATATGTACCAGATTTATTGTTTACCTTGCAGATTGGCCATAACTAAAAAAAGAAAAAAGAAGTACAAACTCTGTGAACAAAGTATAGGAAAACGGGGTGGTGGGAATGCTAAGTTCAAACTTTCTGGAAGATAAATTGACAGCATCTATTAGAACTTTAATTATGCACATCTTTTGACTCAATCCCAGTATTTATCCTATGGGTACAGAGCAATATGATGTATGTAAAAGGGAATTCATTGCAGTTTTGGAGGAAACTTAAATGTCCAGTAATGGAGACTGAGTAGATAAGTTATGTGTATAACTTTAGTAGAACTGGAACATAATGTAACTTCATTAAAATACTGTGGCTTCAGGGGCACACAGCTGCTAACAATCAGGCAGATCTTCATGTTCAGGTATAGAAGGGTCTCTGAGATGTATTGTTAAGTTAAAAAAAATAAGAAAGTGACAACACTGCCATTTCTTTGGGGGTATTTGATATATTTGCTGAGTTAAATGTCTTTAAATGTATGGATTTTTTTAAAGGACATATAAGACATTAGTAACGGTGGCTTCCAAGGAGAGAAACTATTGTAGGGGGAATAAGAGACAAGAAAGACTTTATCTTTTACTGTATATTTTGTACTTTTAAGATTTTTGTGATACATATGTATTGCCAATAAAAAAAACTAAATAAAAAATATGAAACCTTCTGTTAAGCAGGAATTTTCTCTTCTCCCAACTCCATAGAGCTTCCTTTGCCTTCGCCTCACAGTGCACCTCTTCCCTGGGACTGCAACCCTTAATTTCCAAGTGAGTCATAGCTCCTTCATCTCATATATAATGAAAAAAAGAGTTACATGCATTTATTTGATTGTGAAGGGCAGTATCTGGATTTACCAGGTTATAGATTCCAAAGATTTTGATTTCCCCCTTTTTATTTTGTCCATTTTTGAGACTTAAACATTTATTATTAAGCTAATGAAAGTTTTTCCCAAGATATTTACATAAAAATCGCATCTCTTTTATTCTTTCTTATTCTTTGACATACTCTTAAAATACACATTTTGAGTATTCAGAGTTGAAAGGGGAAACACCAAATGCAGATCGCCCTCTAGTGGTTAAAATAAACACTTCTTTTCGTCGCTGTTTGTTTTTTTTTCAAAAATCAAAAATGCATATTTTTTTTTTTTAAAGGGGAAAAGGTTTATTTAGCACACAGTTTGTAGAGGTTTCAGTCCATAATAGGCTGGCTCCGAGGCAGGGCTGGCAAACAGCATCGCAGAGGAGAAACAACATGGCGCGCACAAGGTAGCAAAGGTAACAAGAGGCAAAAATGCATATTTTGAAAATCGGAGTGAGAACTCGGGAGTTTTCTAGAAATAGTTACTGGAATTAGTTAATGAAAGGATAATTTATTCTGGTAAGTTATATAGTAATAAAATTCATAGAAACTTTTCAAAAATTGCATCATTTGTGAAGTGCTCTGACACCTGGCCGCGGCAAACCAGGTTCTCTTGGCAGAGATCTGGAAGCCCATGCAGAATTGGGTTGCAGTCCTCTGAGGGCCCCTTTGTCCAGCGAGACTGGAGCGAGTAACGGCCATGTGAATGATGGTGACTGATGATTCCACTTAGATCTGGTAGAAAAACACAATGCAGAATCAGTATGGATGACTTTTCTAGAAGAACACCCGCTCTTTCTCTTCCTAGTGAGTCCATTTTGCCAACCCCGTCTGTTGAACAGTTCCTCCATTTTTTACAGTGACACCTTTATTGTATATTAAGTTCTCTCATGCAAATGGGTCTACATTAGAGATCTGTATTCTTTCTGATGGACTTTTAGTCGGGTCTTGTGTTATTATAACATTATCTTGTGGTGGTTGTTTTGTTTTTGCTGTGACAGGAGTTTTGATATTCTTCTTTTTCTTCTTTTTTACTTTACTGTGAGGGGGATTGAACCTAGGGCCTTCACACTAAGCTACATCTGCAGCCTTTGAGATATATATATATTATGTATATATGTATATTTTAAAATTTTGAGACAGGGTCTTGCTAAGTTTTTAAGTTACTCTGACTGGGCTTGAATTGTTATCCTCCTGCCTCAGCTTCCCAGAGTGTTGGAATTATAGGTGTGTAATTATAGATGTGCAGCTTATTTTTATATTCCAGGTATGTCTGCTGTGGGCTCCCATTCCAGATGCTCACTGAAGTCCTCTCAGAAGCCTGCAAGGTCAGTATTATTATCTCTAGTTTACACATAAGGAAGTAGAGGCTCGGAAAATTGAAATCATTAATTCACTGACCAAAGTCCAGGTGTTATTCATGGTGGATCTGGGATTTAAACTGAGTCTGGCCGCAGGGCCTTGTGTCTCAGATCTTGTGACACGCCCTGGTTGTTAGACTCACCGAAGCATCCAGACCAGCTGGAAAAGGAGGAACAAGAATCATGTCCACTTCTGGGCAACACTGGCATGGCTGAGGTTTCATTGCCTCCCTGTTCTCTCCTAGATCCTACTGAATCTTTCCTAGATAACAAGACCATGGGGGCGGGGGGGACCACCGTGTTCTGTGCTGGATTTAGGTCACATATGTGATAATTTAAAAACTTGAACTGCAGGTGCTAGGAATGATATAATATTTTCTAACTGTAATATGTGCGATTTAGAGAGAGAGACAGAGACAGAGAGACAGAGACAGAGAGACAGAGACAGAGAGAGACGGAGAGTGAGAGAAAGAGAGAGGGAACTAGGTCCTCGAAATATAAAAGTGCAGGTGTGCTTGCTTTGGCAGCACATATATTAAAAGATAGTGTAGGTTACTTTTCTCCCTCTCTTTCCTCACAGCAGACCCCAGATTTTATTCAGGTAATGTATGTATTCCATATAAACCCTTCACTGTTGTCTTTCTCCTCTTACCCTCAGTTGGTTTGGGCATAGACATTTACACATCTTTGGCCAATGAGACATGAGGAGAAAATCTGCTGGGATAGTTTCCAGCAATCCCTCTTTCCCTCCCTCCCAAGTTCCCTCCCTTTCTTCCTTTCTTTCTTCTTCTACTTCTTCTTTTTTTGTGGTCCTAGGGATTGAACCCAGGGCCTTTGCACTGAGCTGCATTCTGAGCCCTTTTTTATTTTTCATTTTAAAACTTTGAAACAAGGTCCCCCTAAGTCACTGAATTACCTGGGCTGGGCTTGAACTTTCAATCCTCCTACCTCAGCCCCTCAAAGTGCTGAGATTATTATAGCCCAAGCCTAAAAACAAAAAATTTAAAAGGTAGGCAAGCTTTCAGGGAGAAAAGAACACTTCTTCCTTTGAAGTGATGTTGGGCGCAATGGCAGCCATTTTGTGACAATAAAGGGATAAATCTGAGGAGAAGGCTACCTCACAGAATATGGCAGAGATGGAAAGAACCTGAGTCCTGGATGAGACTGAGTATCTGAATCAACAAAACCTAGATTAGTCTCACCTCTGAATGTCTCATGGTGGAATAATAAACTTTTCCTATTCTTGAAGCAACACAAGTGGGGAGGTGGCTGTCAAACCAGCTAAAGGTGATACGTATATAAATGCTTGCATATCTCTTACGAGTTTATGTCCAGAATGTAGCAGCCTGTGCGGACACCCAGGTCCACTCTGCTCTGGGCAGGGTTATGCACTGCAGGAAATGGGAAAGTGAAAAGGCCATGACCCACACTTTCCATCTCCCTGCTCTCTCCGTGGAGTCTGTGGTCTGGTAAGGAAGAGAAAAACAACAACACACTGGGGGAAAACCTGTCTGGAATGAAGAACAAAATACAGGGGCACAGAGCAGTGAGGGGCCAAGATGGTGGGGTACAAGGATGAGCAGCTGGGCAAGGGTAGGCTGAGGGCAGGACTTGGAGAGAGGGCAGTGGGCCAACAGAGGTGGAAGTGGCAGGGCCAGTGAGGGACACAGAGCCTAGGGAGCAGGCAAGGGGCAGACAAGGAAGAGGCCCGCAGAAGCTGCTTCGTTCTCCTCCCGAGGAGTGAAAGGACAGGGTCTTCTTAAATGTGCAACCGTGGGACACATGCCAAGTTAAAGCATGAAAAATCTTCTTTGTGACTGTAAGTAAACATAGAAAACAAGTTACAAGTTTCAGAAATGGGCCTTGCTAATCACTGTTTATTGGAGGCTATTAAAATGTTATGAAGAATTATGAATAATGGTAGTAAAACACACATATAAGAGAAATAAACAATTCTGGACTACCACTGATGAATCAATTAACAGGTCAATATGTAGAAAATAGTAATCACATTTGTGTTGCTGTGCTGTTCTTGTTGTTGTTTATTTGTTTCACTGTGGCTTTTGTCTTCATATGAATCCATGACATATCAAAAAATGGTATTTGTTATGGCTTGTGTTTAGAGGACCCCCATTGAAGGTGGCTGAATCTGGAGTGTGAGATGCTGGGCTTAAGGGCGTGTGATTACTAGACCACTACATGTGAGTGATTGGTTTGGCACCACCCTAATCCCATAGTCTGAATAAGATATAAGGGGCAGAAATACACTGTTAAGGTCCCTTGTCACTTTTGCTGTGTTTCCCTGCCATAAACTTTTGCCCCTCTGCCATCCTACCTTGGAGCTATCTGACTGTGGACTGAAGCTTCTATGAAACTGTAAGCCAAATAAACCTTTCTCCCCTTAACTTTGGGTGTCAAGTATTTTGTCTCAGCAACAAGAGAAAAGTAACTAACACAGTATTTTAATAAATAATCTTTTTTTCTCTATCTGAAGAAAGACAAAGTATCTACTCAATATTTTAATAATATTTTCAAATAGACTAAAGTATATACAGTGAAAAATAAATTTCCTATTACCCCTGGCCCCAGAATCCTGTTTCCTTCCCTAGTGGAAAGCATAGTTGCCAGTTTTAAAAGGAATCCATTGTGTGTTTGTGTAGACAAATAAATGCACATGTTGTAGCATGTGAAGCAATTTGTTGTGAACAAATTACGGCAAAACTTATTAGCTCAAAACAAGAAACATATACGATGGTGCATTTTCTGAGAGCCTGCAGCTGAGCTGGCCCTCACTCTCTGTGTCTCTCCCAAGGCTGCAGTCCAGCTGTCACCTGGTGCTGTGGCCCCTGTACAGCCCAGCTCGAGCGGCTGTTGGCAGAGTTCTGTTCCTCACAGGAACCTCATTTCGTTGCTGGGTTTTTGCATTTTCCCTCTACTTTGTGCTACATGGGCCTCTCCCTGGGGCACCTCCCAGCATGAGAGCTGGCATCATTGGAGCAAATGAGAGAAAAGGGCCAGAAGAGGCCAGCAAGACAAGAAGCCAAAGGGTCTTTTTGTAATCTAATCTCCAAAGACCATCCAATCATTGCTAAATTCTGTTTGTTAGAAGCAGTCGCTGTTGGACCCACAGTCAAGGGGGGGAAGTTGTGTACAGGCATGATCAGAGGTTGGAGATCATTGCAGCCCATCATAGGAGTGGTTCACCACACATATATGTACACTGTATATTTGTAGGTGCCTTTAAAATACATGCATAAAATTGTCGGCCAAGCAATGAGTCTTGCAGCAGTTTCTTAGGTGTGTGTAAATCACTGCCTCTTCTACCAGTGGCGTAGGATTTCACCTCATCTGAATAGCAGTATTTGGCTGTGCTGTACTTTAAAGTCCAGTATTGGTGGACATTGGGGCATTTTTGGTCTTTTGCTGCAATGACTTGCTGTACATATTCTTTGCCAGTGTGAGTGTATCCAAGTAGGTAAAAGCCTACAAGTGGAGTTGCTGGGTCAAAACGCATATGCAGTTCACATTTTGATAGCTGTGGCCTAACTGCCATCCAAAACAGGTTGTGCCAGTTTATCTTCCAACCCTGTCATGGTTTGCATCTAGATGTCCCTCCAAGCCTCATGTGCTCATGGGTGGGGCTTTTCAGAGGTGGCTGAATCATGGGTGTGTGATGCTGGATTAGGGTGTGTGATAACTAAATTGGTTTAGTATAGATCTGGGTGTGGATAATAGAAGCCCACCCTGGCTGTGGGTGGCACCACTCAAGAGGCTTGTAGGGACAGAAAGATGGCAGGCTGCTGCTGCTCTGCCATAGACTGTTTCTCCTCTTCGATGCCCTTCTGCCATGCCACCCTTCTTGGAGCCAACTGACTATGGACTGAAGCCTCTACAAACTGTGAACCAAAATAAACCTTTCTTCCTTTAACTTGTGGGTTTTGGGTATTTTGTCTCAGCAATGAGGAAAGTAACCAGGACAAACACCAAAATTTAAGAATTGTCTACTGTATTCACAGCTTCTTTAGGCATGTTTTCCACAAATTTTAATGAAAAAAGGAAGAGAACAAAACTAAATATCAGAGTCTACTAATCTGGACAAGCTGGAGCAGTTAATTTGTATTAACTAAAAATGGAATGAGGCTCAGTTTTTGTTTAATTTCATCTGGATTTACCAGGAGTTTTTCCTAGTGTAATATACAAACTAGAGCTGGGACCCTGTGTACCTGGTGAGAATTCTACATTCTCTGAGAAATTAGAATTTGCTCTCAGGAACTTTTTGTTAGTCTTTGTGTAGAGGTAAAAAGGGGGTGGCATGGTTGGGATCTGTAAGTAGTCATAGCTGTCCATGTTTATCAGTTTATTTGGCGAACACTTATTGTTGGCCTACTCTGCCAGACAGTGTGCCCCTGGCCTCCTAGAGAAGCAAAGTAAGCTCGACTGTAGAGAAATGGTCACTAATTATCGCTCATACTTTTATTCTCTGTAGTATTTTGTGGGCTGGTCCCTCCTAAATGAACAAAACAGTATACCATGGTTTTATCACATTTAATTTTCCTTAAGTTTTTTTTTTTTTGGTAGTGTATTTTTTGGCTCCGGGACAAGCACAATTACTCAGAGAGCTTGACTGACAATGACAGGATATGTTTTTGTTTTTTTTTTTTTTTGGAAGAGTCTCGCTATGTAGCTCAGCTTGGACCTGAACTCACTATGAAGCCCAGGTTGGCCTCGAACTTGGGGCAATCCTCCTGCCTCAGCCTCAAGAAAGATTTTAAGTTGTGTTAAGAGCAGCAGGTTCACTGGAAGTAATTTCCCTGGCGCTCACTGGATGCCTATGAGGACAGTGGGTGGGTGTGTTTGTTTCTGAGCTGCGGCAGCGCCACCATGTGGCAAAGCCGTAAAGGATGATGGAGGTCCATGGAGCCTGTTGTGTAGAAATCGGTCAGTTTGTGAAAAAATTTAAATGTATGAGAAGACATTTATATTACCGTGCATGAAGGGAAATTTTAAAGTGCGTTTTAAATCAACATCATTTTAATTTTAAAAAAATGAGACAATATTGTGCCATGTCCCTCAGAAGCTTAGCAATTGCCAGGAGTTAGTCCCAAGGATTAAGAACTGGCCATAATCCCCGAGGGCTCTACAACGTCCTCCATAGAGTCTTTTCTGCCCCCTCTAAAGCAATGTCAGTTGCCTCCTGTGCTTCCAAAAGCCATCTCTGATGTCAGTTTCATTCACCAACAAATATTCATTGAGTGCCTACATGGTGCTTACTCTGTTCAAGGCACTATAGATGCAGGAGTGAAAAAAAATTTTGCCCTTCCAAGTGTGAGGTCCTGTGTTTGATCCCTGGTACCAAAAAACAAAAAAAAATTTTACCCTTCACTTGTGATACTCTTATTTTGACATAGTTGTCTTCTTTATGCCCCACGAGCCCTTTGACAATAGAGAACCACCTCATCTCATCTGTCTTGATTAGAGATAATTGTGTTTATTAGGACCATTCTCATGTCAGTGCTCTGGTGGTCAAAGCTGTGCCCCACTGGCCAGGAACAAAATACAGAAATGGAAATTTTTATAGATCCTATAGGCTAAGCAACAGCCTTTCGAAGATGTCCATGTGTTAATCCCTTGAACCTACAAGTACACTACCTTACATGGCAAAGAGATTTGTAGCTGTGCTAAGTTAAAGCTCTTGAGATGAGCAATGTTCCTAGACTGTTGGAGCGAGGCCAATGTAAGGTCCTAATAAAAGGGAGGTAGTAGACTTAGAGATGTAAGGAAGGAGGCAAATGTCACAGAGAAGATGCTGCACTGCTGGCTTTGAAGATGTTGGATGGGGCCTCAAGCTAAGAAATGTAGGTGGACTGCAGAAGCTAGAAAAGGATTCTCCCCCAGGGCCTCCAAAATGAGGTGAGGCAAGGCTTGCTAGCATATTTTAGAATTCTGACCCCTAGAACAGGATAATACATGTGTGGTGCTATAAACCACTAGCTTTAGCCAGGCATGGTGGCACACGCCTGTAATCCCAGCACTTAGGAGGCTGAGGCAGGAAGATCACTGTGAGTTTGAGGCCAGACTGGGCAATACTGTGAGTTCAAGGCCAGCCTGAGCTACATAGCAAGACTCTGTCTCAAAAACACAAAAACAAAAAAACTCACTAGCTTTGTGGTAATTTGTTACCAAAGTAGTAAGAAACATATCAATTTCTACCTGTCCTCCTGATCTGCCTTTCACACTGCCTGTTCTCACTGGTAACAGAGCAGGTATTTCTACTTTGTTTCTGTTTGGTCTCAAGTCATGGAGATGTCTTGATTTGCGTTGACACAAGCCAGTGTTTCTCAACAGGGTTGTCTGACCATTGTCCTTCTTTGGTGTATCCTCCCAGCCCCCGTGTTTTTAATATAAATTTTAAATTCTGAATTTTCAGTTGTATAGTTTCCAAAAAACTTTATAATTCAATGTACAACCCAGAAGTTATTTTCATCATGAGGACACTAGAAACATTCTCATTAAAGTCAGGAACAAGACAAGACTATTAGTACCATTCTTTCTCAACATTATTCTAGAGGGGCTTACTAAGGTAATTACCTAAGAAAGGTAAGAGTTTAAAAGGGGGGCAGGAGGAAATAAACTTGTAACTATTTGCAAGTGATACTGTTATATAACTAAAAGTTCAAGAGAATAAACTGGAAAGGTACAAATAATAAAAGTATTCGATAAACATATTAATGTGTAACAATGATAAACAATTACTTGGGACATGTACAGTGAGGGAAAAATTTATTCTATTTATAGCACCAACAGAAAAGATAAAATACCCAAGAATTAACATAACAGCAAATATGCAAATGTGAAGCAACATCGAAATAAAGCCTTTCATATTTAATAACACAGCAGTTAGACTTATTACTAATAACCAAGTATAGTTGATAAGGGAAATAGTCTCATTTTTATTTTTCTCTTTATAACTTCATTCTCCACCAAGCCCCCCTGCCCTTTTTTTTTTTTTTTTGAGACAGGGTCTCACTGTCATTCAGGCTGTCTTTGAATTCACTGTGTAGCCCCAGCTGGCCTCCAACTCAAGGCAGTCCTCCTGCTTCGGCCTCCCATGTGCCTGGATTATAGGTGTGTGCCACCACGCCTGGTTCTTCCACCAAGTCTTTTAAATTTTTTTATGAGTTTCAGTTTTATGGGGCTCTTCACTGGGTGGAGCTCATAGATTAAATGAGGTTTTCTCTGTGGTGGTCCAAACCAGGCCATGGCAAAGAGGGTTCCACATGCTGCGGCCTGTTGGCTCACATGACCTGCCATGCACCCTGAGTCCTCTTTCATCTCTGTCTCACACACACACTATTTCCTCAGTATCCCATTTGGACCATCCTAAGGTTTTCTTAGTCTTGATACAGTAACTGCAAAGCTATTCTTATCAGGACATAGTTAAAATAGTGGCTTGTCGGGACCAGGGATTTAGCTCAATGGTTCCAATGCTTGCCATGCAATTGCAAGGTCCTGAGTTCAATCCCCAGCACCAAAAAA